TCTTTCTTCCTTCCTTCCTTCCTTCCTTCCTTCCTTCCTTCCTTCCTTCCTTCCTTCCTTCTTTCCTTCCTTCCTTCCTTCCTTTCTTTCTTTTTTGTAGCTGAATCTTCTAATTTTATTTTAGAGATTCTGTTCAGTATTTCTGTCCATCTGTAGACACCTAGAAAATTTAGTTGTTTTGTTTTGTTTTTACATTATTTACTACTCCCTCTGCCTGTTGTATGGTTTTATTTTCTATTTTTTTCCACAGATTTTTTAGTTAAGAGATATCTGGACTCAGTTGCTTCAGCGATAGTTAAAAATTTTAAATAAATCCTTTGGAAAACTTTTATAAGAAGAAATTAAAGTGTGTTCATTAAAGTATAAATAGAGAAAAATTGATTTCTAGTCAAATAAATTGAGAATAATATGTTCTAAAACATGAGAGGAAGAGAATGTTTAATTTTACAACATACCACAGAAATATGTGGAAAGTCCTAAAAATGTAATATATAGTTTAAATAAATTCAGTAATATTTCTTAATTATTATTTGATTATTCTAAGGCCTCTAGACTAGCTCTAAGCAAAACAATCTTTCCTTCTTAATTTCAAATAGATTAAGGTTGTTTCAAATATGGAAATTCATGGCGGTCTAGTTAAAAAAGCATTTTTGTTTCCATTACTAATTGCAAACTTTCTGCTTGTCTAATAAATACATTTTACTGAGAATATTGGCTTATCATATAAGCTTTCAATTAACTCTAGCTTCCTATACTTTATTTCAGAGACAATAAAGAACAATATTCAATAAACTTCCCATTTTTCCCAAACTAAAATTTCACCAGAAATAAATGATGGGTTCTACTGGGTATTTATAATTAAAAATAAATTTTAAAAAAGCTTCACAAAGAAAGAAATCATCACTATATAAAGATTGATAGTCAAGCTTTAGAATAACTTCTCCAGTTTCTTTTCCTCTAAGTGGAATTAACTCTAAGACATGTTCAACCTGTGTCCTAGAACTTCCCAGTGGGATGAACTTCAGTTGCCCATTGCTGTAACTGGCTTTATAATGGACTCTTTATTGGTTCCCTCCTTTCCCTAGTTCACTCCCTTACTTTTTCACCAGTGTTGTTTGTGCTCACCTATCAAATAAACTGTTTACACAAATCCTTGTCTTGGAATCTACTTCCCCAGAGATGCAAAAAAAGACACAGCCTCAATGTTTGTCTATTCCTTATTACTGGTTCCCATCCCCTTCCTCCTCACAACATCCATTGTGTTCCTAAGTGCCTCAGTGCATTGAATGCTAGTACCAACCAACCCCAAAGCAGCCAATTCTCCACGTTCTCCCAACAACCAACACTTGCCCCTCTTGTACTTATGCTTTTAAGACTGATCTTTGCTGAGAAACTGAATAGATTAGACCATGATATTCAGATGTAGCTTGTTTTAGTAGAAATAACATTGTAGGAAAATCAAAAGATCTTATACTAGGTTTACCATTCACTACTTTGGTGCCCTCAGTCAAAAAACCCTTCAGTTTCAAGGTTTTCATCAACAAAATGGAGACAATAATACCTGAATGACAATTGCAATTAATGAAAGGGTATAAAAGTCTCTGAGAATTGGAAAACTTGGTACGAATAGGGCATCAAGTTCAAACAAACTTCTTGTCTTAAAAGTTGCCTTTAGTGATAGCATAGCCTAGCATTTCAAAGTTCAGACCTTCAAAGGCAGAGAGGAACACTGGGGATATAAAAGCCTAATCAATTGCTGGTAAAAACAAAAATGGGTACATATATTCTAGAGAGAAGCGATCTGGGAGGATTTAGTCAAATTAAGTACATGCATATTTATGATTAAACAATTATAATCCTGAGTATATATTCCAGAGAAATTCTCACCAAGGTCCACACAGGGGCACATTCAAGGACATGTATTACAACCATCCTTGGCAAAGAGGAAGCAACCTGAGAGACCATCCCCAGGGTGAGTGGGTAGGAAAAATGTAATGGGGGCACATCATGTGGCTGTGAGGAGACAATCCACTACACATTTGCAGAAGAATGTGTCTAGAGCTTTAAAACCATAGTATTGAACGAAAAGAAAAAGAAAAAGAAAAAAGAAATAGAATATAGTATAGCTATAATGACATTTACGTTTTTGAAATATATGTGCAGACAAAAAAAAAGTACATATTCTAAACATATGTAAGTGAAGAATATATATATTAAACACATAAGAATGTGTTCGTCACTCACTAATTTAAGAGATGATGAGAATTTTATATTTCCGGGTACCAACTGATAACTGACAACGAAGCATTCCAAGATGGCAAATGGAGCATAAAGAAGGCTAGTTACTCTTCTATGGCAACTCTGCTTTGCCCTGGGGTGGGATGATGGGGATAAAGCAGTGATCTAAGGGAGCTATGGCTTAAACCGAGCTGACTTCAGGGGGAACATAGGTTATGTGCAAGGGGTAAGTAACTCAGCTTTCACTAAGGCTCTTCTACTACCAGGAGCTCACTGTGAAATTGCCATGGATTCTTTGTTAGTCCTAGGCTTCTCAATTGGGCAGAAGGCTGTAGAAGAAAACCACTTAGAGAAGACTAAGACAGACAACTGGGAAGATGACTGAACCTGGCCAATATGTGAGCATGGGGTATATTGGAGGGTGAGCTCCCAGGATTGTCCTCACAGTGCGGGTTTGCTCTGTCTTTGCTGTTCCCAAGATTATGAGTACAAACTGACTCTGAGTAGCCTTTATAAGAATAATATGGTAACAGAGAGAAACGTTGGAAACATTCCCATGACACGATGCTCAAGATCACTGACCTGCCCCTGATACATAGCCTGTCCTGGCAGCACAGAACTCCAAGAGAAAAGGAAAATAGTGCGTGTTATGTGAAATACCAATTTCCTGTGTCCAAGATCTCCCCAATGAACCCCTCAACATTAGCATCTCCTGCAAGCTGGCAGAGACTTATTTTTTAAAAGTTATTGTTCCTTTTCTTTACATGTTAAAAATAAATGAAGCAAAAGGGGAATAAAACCTGTTTTGGTAAGTCCTGTATTTATTAAATAAAACTGGTGTTGAAAAATAGTCACAACCATTCTTCTATTTACCCATGATTCTTCTTTATTTGGCTGCTAAACATAGGGGCATGTTAGTATTGCTGTCAGCTTACTAGAAGGCATTAAAAGCTCTATCAATGGTTCAAGAAGCTGTAGGTAAATCTTTCCAGTGCTGGGTGTTATTAGAATACTGAGATGTTATATGCTTGCAAGAAACTTTTTTTTTTTTTTTCGTTCCATTGCTGCACTGCTAAAGAGAACACTCATTTTGGGCAGGGAGAGTTAAATCTAGCAAATGCCTAGCACCAGCATTCCAAAAACTTTAGCGCGGCCTGGATTTTTAGCTTCTGCTCCAACTTCATTGCTGCAAAATAAGAGAAAGTAGTTGTCAGGCAATAGACATAAATGAATTTTTAAAAAATACACCCAAATATTTACACATTCACATTTAGGCACAGTATTCTCATATTAAAAAAAAATAAAAAAGGTTTATAGTAGAAAACTTGCGTTTATTTTTTTCCCTTAGTAGCTGTTTTTTTGTTCCACAGTTAATGACAATAAAGACACGCAGCTTAGCTTCACATCAGACCATGACCTCTTGAGAGCTCAACAGAGCATTTCTGGCCTCCTACAAAGGGTCATGATGGTTATGAAGGGCCAGGGTGGCCATAAGGAACAGCACCACCACAATCCACCCACAACTCCTCAAGTCTGGATCAGATGGCTGCTGCCTTTCCCATCTTTTAACATTGTCTTCATCATTCCATAAAATGTAAACTCTAAAACAAGGAGATGAACTGGTATTGAATTAAGTCGCAGCTTTTGTAAAATGGAATGTTACAAAAGACAGAGATAGTAAATGAACCTCTTGCTTTTTCCCATATATTGATTCCATTGGCTTTATAGCATAGTTATATAGTAGGGGAGTGATTCTAACAATTTATCCATCCAATCTCTATGTGTTTCTATTTTATAGGGTTTGACTGTATGGAACAGTGAAGATAAACAGAACTTAGTGGGGATGGCTATTAGCAGATTATAGAATTCAAGATAAAAAGTATAAAAGAAAGCAGAAGACATGAGGCCAAAAGAGACATTTAGTTCTAAAACATTACTCTGATAGAATGTGATAGAATGACATCAATGGAAGGAAATAACCTTAAGTTTATATTTCCAAATGCCAACTCATGGCTGACAATGGAGCATTCCAAAGTGGCTGGTGGAGAATTAAAGAGGTCAGTTGCTCTTCTGTAGGCAACTCTCCCTACTTCGCCCTGGTTTGGGTCATAGCAGAAAGAAGCAGTGGTCTGGGAGAGCTGTGGCTTACAGCTGTCCTCAAGAGGAACATGGGCTGTATGCAAAGGGTAAGCAAAGCAGACAGGAAACCTGAGCATGGCATGGCCGAAAGGCTAAGTAGAATTGTGAAACAGATATATTCTGCATCATTTAGGAAAAATTGCATTTGTTAGACTAGAAGGAAGAGTTAGAGAAAGAGCTACTAAAACAAGGGGATAGCTCCATTACCACACTGATTTATTTGTTCTGGCCATAGAAAATCAACAGTCATGATATAAGTGAGTTGTAGCTTTCATCATCTGGGATTCTCTGAAGCTTTAGAATGAAATGAGGAAATGACTAAATTATATCTCCTCCTTTTCTTTCTAACAAATAAAAACTATGATTTATTTAGATTTTCCTGTAAGTACAGATACTTGGTAGCTAGCATTACAAGAGATTTAAAGAAATCATCATGATTTGACTAACACTTACCAAATGCTAGGTACTTTATATGTTAAGCACATTACATGCATTAGTGCAGATCTTCACCATAATCTTCGATCTCATTTTAGAGAGAAGGAAATTGAGGCTCAAAAAGATTAAATATCATGCTCAAGACCACAGTATTTAAAATGAAACTCTAGTTTTTCATTTTCTATTTGTTTTTGTTGTTCCTATAGTCATTAGTTTGTCTTAGCCATACTAAAACATATATTATATCTGACTTGTCACCCGAAGAATTCAAACAGAAGATATATAAGAAAATACTTGTAGACAGGATTATAAAATTAAGTAAAATATTGCACTAAATGCCCTCTAAATTCTTTTTCAAATATAATTTTATAATTATACAAATAATTAAATCAGATTGAAGAGGAATAAGTAGTTCATCCTCTGACACCATGCCAGCAAACTCAGCACTAATTCTCAGCCTTCCTGAACCCACGGGCAGATCAGTAATGTTTGTCACTGCAATTTAGCAGCTGGTTTGAAATGATGCATTATGCTATGAGAGGAAAAGTCATGTTTATAGACATTTTGTGAAGTTTTCACTTTCCTTTGCCAATCTCGATACAGATAAAGAGCTAAACAATTTAAGAAAAACAAAGGTGACATTTAAGAAAGATGAAAGTCATTATAAAAAATAAATTATTTTTGTCAGGATAGCACCCTGGCAATTAAGGTTAAGTATTTTATCATATTATCAGTTGGACGATACACTTATTTTGGATATTAAAAAAAAAAAAAGAAACCCATAAAAAAAGTAAAAAAAAAAAACAAGATATTTAGATCATCATAATTTTGAAGGGAGTCAGATTCCCAAAATACTTTTATGTAGAGTTTACTTTAGGTAATAAGTGATGTAGTGTTGTGAAACTTTAATCCCATGTTACAGAAAGCATTTTTATTAAAGAATGTGCTGTAGACATTGATTTTTCATTTCCTTTTATTACAAACCACCTATGCATACTCTTCTCTGCCAAATGGAAGCAAAATGAACTCCATACATATTCTCGTAAATATGAAGCCTGATTTCAAGTACACAGAACAAAGACCAAATTTCTAGAAAACGTGTATTGTGATATTATTAAGTGCTGTAATTCTTTTTTTTTTTTCCTGAAAGATTTTAAATACATTTTGGACATGTAAATAACCACTAATGTTGGTGCAAAAATACAAGATCTAGTATCAGAATTTATTTTCTATAAACCAGAAACAATAAAACATTTGGTACTTAAGGTCCTATAAAGGAATCCTGATAGAGAATGCAGGTATAATGGCCTCCAGAGAGCACAACATTAAATCTGGAGTCAAAAACATTTAATATCTGGATGACCTGAGCTCCAAATAGTTGTTAACCTGGATTTTATTTTGTTTGTTTCTCTTGAAAAACTAGCACACAGAGGAATGTAAGCCTTCCACTTCCTGATCTTCGCTCAGCTTTACCACACAACTCACTGTGATACAAAATCTAATATTAATCTACTGAGGTAACTTAGAAAGAGAAACTTCAAAATTGCCAAACCCCCACCTCTCCTATAGTAGATTAAACTGAGTCCCTAGAAAAGAAAGATAAGTGAGGCTTCTTTTTGGGGGGTGGCGGCAGGGGTGCTACTTCAGAGTAAAATTTCAATTCTACCCTTGTCAACCAGGTATAAAGACAAATAGCATTAAAAATAAGAGGCTTGTTGAAAATAAGCCTTGTTGAAAATTAGGTAAGAGATTTCCTACCCTCCTTTCTTAGAGCATTTACTTCAGAAAACTTGTCATTATAAGTACATCCTCCATTGTTTGAAATGTATATGTCCTTTTGAAAACTAGATGGGCCTTTCGTCAGCTTTAAGACCCAGTGAAGTCTTTCTCAAGGACTTAAGAACCAAGTAAACATCCAAGTGAGATCGAGCCCCTATCTCCTAGTGTCTGAGTGAGGGTAAGAGCCTAACTTTAGCTGATACCTGACTCCAGTTGTAAAACTATCTCCTGCCATAAAGATATGAGAAGTTTATTTTTCCTTTGTGTAAAGCCAGTCACAGGCAGTCACCCCCATTACCAGGTGTTTTAGGATAAACTATATGTGATAAATTGTACTGTCAAGTCCTCTTATTAGAGGATGAATTGAATTATTGTTTCTCTTGAGAACATGTATATATGGGTTGTACCTGCTTGGCTATATGAAGAGTAAGACTTCTTCCTGACTTTGCAATCTCTTAGTGATTGTTTGTGATGCCTGTCAGATTCGGTTTCAATGTTTATTCAATAATAAATTGTTTTCCTTTTTCTACTACTTTTGTAAAGAGGACTTCTGGGTTGGCAGAAAGATTTTTTTAAAAATTATATTTCCCCAACACAGGCTGGGTCTTATAACACAGAAAAGTCTTTTGATGACTTTTTGCTGCCAAACCTGGCGGTAAGATGTCCTTCCCTTTATTGTTTCCTAGCCTACCTGTATGCCTGGGCAAGGTAACTATCTGTTCAGGCGCTCATATTAGGTGTTTATAAGATAAATTTACCCCGGCCCTCTGGCCAGTTGTCTATCAAAGCATATGAATCTTCTTTTAATTAGCAGTTAGTAATATTCAGATTCCAAGTTCTTGCCTGAGACTACAACCTTGAACTCTCAAGGCTGATAAAACTCTATCTATGATTTATTAAAGCTTGATTTTGAGAAATAATATTTATGGGAAATTGCCTGAAGAGAATAGAGTAAGCTCATTCTTCTTAATAATTTAATTTTTACCCTTGAATCAAACCAGAAAATGAGAGTGGTTTCCATGGACAAGTCACTTATTTTCTCTTTTCTGTATTCTCATCTGAAGAATAAATATAGAATGAGACACTTGTCCCATAAGATTAGAACTTTAGACATCAATGGAGATCCTGGAATTCAAAATAAAATGAACACAGAAAGCTTATATACACCAAGCAGTAAATCAATCTTAGTCACCTTGCTAGGAGAATTGTTATCTTGCCGACCCTTAAATGCTTATCAAAAATCTGCAAAGAGGAGTAAGAAAACAGAAGAATTTGCCAGGCATGTGTTTTATGGGCAGTCTAGTGAATGATTAGCTCTCAGGTTGTGTTAATAAAAAGCAGAAATAAAAGGTCAGAATCAAATGTATCTAATCATGTTTTTGGAAATCAATTGACTCTTAAGTTAAAAATAAAATAGGCCTAGGGCTGCACATAGCAGGTGATGTGAAGAGTGGCTGGTCTGTTTGTATCTCATTTCCCATTATGACTTTCACAGTTAAACCTGTAGAAAGAGCAATGGGTTATAGAGTGGTTGTGAATCAAAGAGCTGCTGAATTCACAAGACATGAAGTATACAATGAGAAATAATTATTGCTGCTTAGAAGAATTTAATTTATTCTAAGTAACTCAGAAATCATTTATCTCAGGCAGGGAGTTTGTTTGAAATTAGATGGTGTTATATACGCATCTTCTTGGAGATTACAGTATTGGTGTAAATAATTGAAATCTTTGAAAGTTGATCAGCCAGCTGACCACAGCAGTCAAATTGATTAGTTAGGGATCTAATCTGTTTGTCTGAGGGTTCATCAATGAGTATTTTTTAAGTACCATGTAAAATGCTAAATAAAACATTCTTTGGAATGTATTACCTCACCAGACTCAGCTTACAAGAAATGCTATTCCTTATCCTAGGTTATTTCCCAAACCTTGTATGGAATACAAAGAAAACACAAAGTATTAAAAACATAAAGTACTAAAGAAATTACAGTGAATCTCAACATAAAACAGATCTCTCAAAATTAACTTATACCATGGATTAAAGTGCATGTTAAACCTTTATGACATTAGACAGGAATATGTGATCCAAATTTTTATTAATTCAAAGCTTTTTCTGAAATTAATTTATTATGATTCTCCTGCTTTTACTTTCAGATTTTTGTTTCCAAGACTGAATAGCTATTTGATTGGCTTTCCTAGACTGCCAATGAAGAAGCCAGAATTTGAGGATCTCCACTCTTGCACATTTGAATCACTCGGGAAAATTTTAAAAGAGCAATTTCTTTGCTCACCTCCAGAGATTCTTGATTTAATCTGCCTGGAGTGGAACCCTACTCCTGGAGCTCTTAAAAAGTCCCAAGAGAGTCTAATGTTCAGCCAGAGTTGAGAACCACTGAAGCAGATGATAAGTGGAATTTTTGTTTTGAGCTGGTTCTTTTAGTGCACTATAAAGTATGGGACTTAAAAAAAAAAACAATGAACAAACCAAATCAGATGAGTCTATTTTTAAGTAAATTATCAAGATAATATTAAAAACTAGTATCAACAAATAGCATAATCAAATACAAGAAATGGGAGACTGATAATAAGAAAAACAGACTGCTGTCATTAGAAAGTGACAGAAACTAAGATGTAAATTTGGAGATTTAATCAAGGGTTCTTTCATAATCGTTTATTTGCAGTGGGATGGTAACTAGAATGTTTTACTCCATAAGCCATACAGTTATAAGACCAGAATTGCTATATACAAACAGATAGTTTTCTTGGTTGGTGCTTTAGAGGTAAATAAATAACAAAGAGAGGGTTTGGGGAAAATATACAGGTCAATATTACAGTCTGACCACGTGTCATAAAGAATTGTAAAATTCATTGCTCCAAAATGTGCCAAATTTATTAAGTAAAAAAACAGTATACTAGAAGAAAGGGTCTTTTTGCTTAATTATTTACATATTTTTAAAATAAGAACAGTAACTCACTATCTCTCACAATTGCTAAATTTCAAACTTAAGTTTCTTTTGTGTTTTTTTTAATATATTCCAAACGATCGAAATCATTTTTTGGCAATTTTATTCACCAACTTAATTTTGTTTTGTCTCTAGGGTTGCAATAACTGGTGCAAAAAAATTCAAATATTACAATACTACATCTGCCTTGTTCTTTTTGCAACATAGTCTTTGAGCATTACCTAACATTCAGAAGTCCTTAATTTAGTATTTATTATTCAAACTGTATGCTTTTGTTATTTAAATAATCAACTGATCCTATTATTGTGTGGAAACGTTCATATTGTGTAGATATAGCTATATGAACTTGATCCAAAATTGTGTTTGAAAGAAAGAGAACAATTGTTTTAAATTTACCTGAAATGTACAAAATTTATTCAACCATCTCCTATTTTGAGACATATATATTTGTCCAATTTTTCACTATTACATAATTTGCCACAATCACACTGAAAGGGCTGGCACAATTGACAAACTAAATATCCTTAATATATAAAGGAAGTTTACAAATTAATAAGAAAAATATTATTATACCAGTATATAAATGCATAACTTAATGCAAAACTAAATAGACAAAAATACCAGAAAATACAGAATTTTCTAACTGTAAATTAAAATGAAAGATAATGTCCCCTTTTAAATTGCAAATATTTAAAATATGATTTTAAAAGGGAGACAGATATAGATAGTATAAATAGAGATTTATACAAAGATACAGAGCCAGAAAAGTTAAAGTGCTGAAGAGCACAGGCTCCAGTCTATCGGATCTGGATTCCTGATTATGCAGATACTTTCCAGCTCTTTGGCTTTAGGCGATATACTGATTTCCCTCAGCCTCAGTATCCTCATCTATGAGGTGGGAATAATAATAGTACTTAAAATGTTTTGTGAAGATTAAGTAAAATAATGCATATAAAGTACATAACACTTTTTAATATATAGTAATCTCTTAGTAAATTGGCAATTATAATAATTCTCAATGTGGCAAGTGTACATGGAAATAAGTATTACAGCAAGCTCCTGGTAGAGTGAATTGCTACAATTTTTCAAAAATGCAATTTGGCTATATGTATCAAAAGTCTTCCATATGTTCATACTCATTGAACCAACAATCCTATTCTTAAAAAATCAGATATGTGGTCAGGGACATAAATCCACACATATTCTTAACTCACTGTTTATATTTTAATTACTAATGTTATAGCAGAGAGGCACATTGGTCTTGTATGACAAAGCTTTTGAAATTTACAGAAATAAGGATGTCAGTTTATGAAAAATAAATGATATGCCCCAAATTGTGGAAAAGATGTTTTGGGGAAAATATTCTGATTATATTTGAAATTTTACTATTTCTACTTCTTTTGTACTATGCTTTTCCCTCACCTAAACTTGGAGGCTGCAAAAACGAGCATGCATCATTTGTGAGGGTATCTTCTGAAATAAATGAGTGAGCATATTTATTCTTTTCTTAAAGGTGTCTTCTAAAAATTACTTTTTTTTACATTTACCACTTTTCCTGAGAGGATGTAGAAGAAAAAAAAAACATTGTTCAATTATTCTTATTCTTGATTAACACAAAATAAAAATTTCTCTACAGATTTTTTCTTTGTCTCTCTAGTATAGCATTTATAAAAATAAAAAAAGAAATTTTTAAATGTATTTTTTGTCTGTCATCCCAAAATGTGAAAGTGGTTGAAGGTTTGCATGAAATTTAGAGGCTATGTTTGAGTTGGTATGCTTTTGCCTGTAGGCTACCTGCCATATGCAAAATTTACTTGGGGGTTGGAAATTATATTTGAAATTTTACTATTTCTACTTCTTTTGTACTATGCTTTTCCCTCACCTAAACTTGGAGGCTGCAAAAACGAGCATGCATCATTTGTGAGGGTATCTTCTGAAATAAATGAGTGAGCATATTTATTCTTTTCTTAAAGGTGTCTTCTAAAAATTACTTTTTTTTTACATTTACCACTTTTCCTGAGAGGATGTAGAAGAAAAAAAAAACATTGTTCAATTATTCATGTTCTTGATTAACACAAAATAAAAATTTCTCTACAGATTTTTTCTTTGTCTCTCTAGTATAGCATTTATAAAAATAAAAAAAGAAATTTTTAAATGTATTTTTTGTCTGTCATCCCAAAATGTGAAAGTGGTTGAAGGTTTGCATGAAATTTAGAGGCTATGTTTGAGTTGGTATGCTTTTGCCTGTAGGCTACCTGCCATATGCAAAATTTACTTGGGGGTTGGAAAACTGAGACACCATAAGATGCTGAGACTTTGACTCAGAAGATACACCATAAATATGGGACATCCACTGACCCTCCAGAAAAAGAAGACCATGGTGGTTTCACAATGTATCCAAAGAGAAAAATCACAAAGACAGTCAGGATAAAAGGAGTTAGTTTGTGATCAAGGTGCTACATACATGGGAACCTCTAGTATTATCTTCCACATTGAGAAGCAGCAAAATTTATTATTTAGCTATCGAATTCTTCTGAACAACATGGAGTGAGCCAGGTAATTCTATCTTTAAAAAAAATTGACAATCTTATTAATATATTTTTTAATGGAATTAGTTTATTCCTACAACCTAATATCACATTGAATTGGATAATTATATCTCCAGTTGTATCTTACATTTACCTCTTTGGAATCAAGAGTTTCATGTTCAGGAATAGCCACCATTGGATGACTCAGCTTCACAGAAAAGATGCCAGGATGTGATGAGGGATAGAAATAAGGAGAAATGAATGTTTAAATTTAACTTAGATAAACAATAACATAAGTATACTATTGCTGATCATAGTAGATCCTACCAAATATAACCATTAAAATTTGATTGTTGTTGAAAACAAAGAAAGATATTCTTAATATAGAAAAAAATAGGCAGATGGTGAATATTTTGGGCATAGGACCACATATTATTTATTTTTCTATCGCACGTAAACTCTAACAATGCTTGGCATATAGCTTAGACAGTTATTAAATGTCTATGGAATGCATGAATTATTAAAATACATTAACAGATATCATTAAGAAGAAACAAAGTAATATATATTTCAACTCTCACAATGGTCCCCATTTTGAAAAGTTCCAAAGCAAAAGAGAAAATCATACTCAGACCCACAGTAAATGCAAATTATCTACAGAAAGTAAATGCTTATTTGAAATGTAAAGCATTGTAGATTATTATAAATAATATTCTTATTAAACAGAGACTCAAAAACATTGCAGTCTCACCAGATGTTATTATAATGTAGGTCACAACATAGTGATACTACCAAAAGAGAGTTTCTTTTGCTTATATAAGAATTTTTATTATTGTATGGGTCTTCTGAGCACTATATACACACTTAAACCTATTAAGATAGAAGTCATAGATAAGCAAGAAAAAGGGACATAGGTAAGCAAGAATGAGAGACATACACACAAAGAGAAGGGGAGAGCAATCATTTGTAATAAATCTATGTATCCCTTTTTTTCACCATCTCTCTTCACTTTAGGGTAACCCCAGTACCTGATTTGAAAGAAATATTTCCTGTTTCTGCTTCTGCCCTGAGCAAATCAGAGCTATAGAAATGATTGACCCTCTTTTACTCTCAATAGGGTCCCGATGTGACCAATACATTGTGGAACAGGACTAGCTCCTAATCCTCCAGGGCAATTCAGAGGATCCCAGAAATTAGCCTTGGCCCCAGGAGGATACCAACACTGGCTGCTGGAGATGCCAAGGAGGTCCCGCCTCACATTTTTTCAGACTTCCTTCTCTTCTGGAAGATTTTCAAGAATGGAGCTTGCTTTTATTTAAAGCTAAGGCTTCACTAAATCCTAGCCATTGCACTCTGTTTCCAACTATGAGATCCTCTGAGTATCATAACATCAGGACTCCTTCTAGCTGCCTGACACTGTTGCTTTAAAGAGAAGCATAGTCTGGCTCCTGAGCCAGCTAGAGATCTAAACAACATTTCAAAAATCAGCTGAAAGCCTCTATTTTCTCCTGTTCATCAGGGTCCCCTGAGATCCCAAATTTGTATACCACTTCCAACCTCAGGTCCAGGTCATTGGCCCTGGAAACAGCAGCATCTTTAGCATACCTAGGCTAAGTGGTATGATAATTATATAAATCAGTGGAGTTTGTACAATGTCAAATTTTCATTCTTCTAGTCTCCTAAGATAGAATAGGATAAATATTCTGAAATTTGAAAATGTTGGAAGACTCCCAATAAAATGTTTAGTGAAATTGGAAAAGCAAATGAGTAATTATGTGTTATCTACTTTTACATTCCATTTCTTCTTTTCAATATAGGTATTCATTCATTTAAATCTATTTTCTTTTCATCTTGAATTTTAAAATCTTGTGTTAATTAATGTGTTAATTATCCTAATCAACAAAAGAGGACAGAAAATGACTGATCCTAATTAATTGATAATCCCCAAATCATTTATATTTGGCTTTGACATGTTTTTTTTTTTTTTAATTTATGATCTTTTGTCACAATAGATTTGCCTTTTATTACCCTCAGTCTGACCAAAAACGTTAAATAAATGTGATGTTGCTAATGGATTTAGTCATAATCATTTATTATGTTCTCACATGATAAATTCATTATACGTATTTGTTTATTTAGTATTCACAACAACCTGGTGAGGAGAACACTAATTTGATCCTGTCTCACAGATGAAGAAACTAAACTTGAGAGGCAGAATGACTTATACAAGGTCCAGAACCAGTAAGTGGCAGAGCCATGGCTGGAATCCAGAGACTATTTTTTCAAAACCAGTGTGAAGTGTTAGTATGCCCCTGGGGAGATACTCAGGAGCTGGGAGAGCGGGAGACAGGGGAAGGGAGTGATGTGTACCATTTTACAAAAGGCAAGCCACATACTAAAGTCAAGAGTGTCCCTTTCAGAGACCAGAAGCAGTTCAGGAGTAGCTGGTCTAGCTATGAAAGGTCACACAAGGGACACAATACAATGGAGCTTACATGTCAGATAAGGAGGCAGGGCTTCATCCTCTAGGCAGTGAGAAACTATTGAAGTACTCTAAATAAGAAAGGGGCATGTGTGATCAGATTTTCACTTAAAAAAAATGTCACTGTGGCTGAAGTGCAAAATATGGATGGAAATTGGAAGATATTTAAGTAAGAAAGAGAGAGAGAGAGAATAAAAAAGGTTTAAGTTAAAGCATTGCCTTGGAGAATAGAATTAGACTCAAGTTTTTCTGGTAACCCCAGGTCCCCCTACTCTCTACAATGAATCAAGAAACATCAGGCAGACACATTGATATTTGGAGAGAAATAATGTTGAATGTTGATATCTCTGCAGAATGCAGAGATTTTGTAATGCAGGAAGATTACAGATGTTAAATGGGGAGAAAAATAAAACATAGTGTGAAAATCTTCTCACAGTAAGAGTGGAAATAATGAACCTAAAACATTTATATAAATTCTGTATTAGTAAATAGCTTTCTATCTATATAGAGAAAGTATATTGAGAGAGTAGGTGAATACCAAAGGCGGGAGAGAGTCTTCCAAGCCTGTTTACGTGGTGGTAAATTTTCTGGAGAACAAATGACTATTTTGCATCCAAAAAATAAAATATGAAGTTATTAATTTTATCATCAGATGATTGATTAGTCAACATAGAAAGGTAGATGAAAGGGAAAGCTCAGATGAAATGAAACAAAACATACTATTATCCTGGATAGAGACTCCGGTGTGTAACAGGCTAATTAGACCTTTGCTCACTCACCATTGTGGAATCATTGAGTGGTATTTGAATAAGCTATTCGGTTGATTTTTACTATATCCTTGTAATATAGTAAAACTATATTACTATATTACACAGCTGCCACCAATTAATATACAGTCTTGTGAAGTGTTTATTACCAGTGTAGGGTTTTCTCATAACTGTCACTGCTTCTCCAGAGGTAACACAAACTTGTCTGACCAAGACACATGAAACTCCCTTACACTAACTCCCTTATTCTACAACTAGAAAGAAAGGAAATTTTGCAAAATGTGGTTAAATTACTTAATTCTTCAGTCTACCTGAGAAATGGAATTCAAAGTTCTAACTTTTTTTGAATCAGCTCTCCCTCCTGCACAAAAATGAAGTAAGTTTCCTTGTCTGCCAAAAATTATGAAGCTGAGAAAATATTGCAAGAAAGGTTAACATTTTAAAATAGCCAAGGGTGCTACACATGCTATTCAGAATTCACTTCTTTGGGATTTTTGTTTGTTTGTCTGTTCTTTGTTATTGTTGTTGTTTTGCTGAACCACATCCTCTTGCAAACCTCCTTTTCTCCATTTGTCTACATAAGATGTACCTTCTATTTCTGTCTCCCCACCTAGATTTGTGAACTACTCAAGCTCGAATGAAATCTTCTTAAGAACATCTCTTAAAAGAAATCTGACAAATTACTGTAGCAGTACCCACATGAAATATTGTGCTTCATAACTTTAAGTTGTCATCATGAGACTGAAAGCCATGGGAAATCATGTGGATTATCTATTATTCATCTTTAGTCTTTTGCACCTGGCATGGGCCTCCCTGAGCACAGAGTGGACACTAAATAAGAACTGAATGAATAAATTAGTAAAAGAAAGAAAGAATGAAATGGTTAGAGAAGCAAAGAGGGTTTTCTGACTTGCAGAATTTAAAAAGTCTATATTAATGAAGAATTAGGAACCTTTACTGCTTTCCTAAGTCTTCTCATTATATGAAACTTTGTAAACTAGAGATCTTTGAACTATCACTATCACACATGTGTGTTCTCTTTGACCCTCACAGTTCTTCTACTTTACAAAGAATTGAATTTCATTGTCAGCATTTGAGTTCACAGATTGCAGGTTTGTGTTTCTTTCTCTTGAACTGCTCAAAGGTCTTGCAACACTAGTCTTGCGATCATCTTGACCTGTGCAACAGCCTGCCCTTTTTAGATGAAGTTGATCTCCATGTCAGCACAGCCCCACCATTCCTACTAAGAGGAGGCCAAGTGTCAGAGATCACCTATTGCGCTTATACATATATATTCCTACATCATTTACACACATATATTCTTACATCACTCATTTAGGGGATATGGCCTAACTAAATACATGAGTTTTTAATCCCTGATTTACAATATCTACCAGTGCATAGGAAGCACCCAGGAAGTCTTGGAAATTTCAGATGCTGACTCAGTAGGTCTGAAGAGGGGCCTGAGAATCTGCATTTCCAAGGGGCTCTCAACTGATGCGAATGCTACCATAGGCTGAGGGGTGAGGCCATAACCAACACTTTTGTATGGACTGATGCAACTGATGTTTTTCAAACATTTATCTATTCACAACTGAAATAAACTATACTCAAAATGTCCTAATCATTTAAGTTGTACTACAATTGTATAAGTAAATAATTTAGCACAGATCTTTTTTATTAAGTACTTGAAAATGTCCTAGGCACTCTGCTAGGTGTTAGAGATGTGACAGTGAACAGACAGTGTCCTCGCCCTTGGAGACCAATGCAGTAGAAGAGAAATATTAATTATATAATCACAAATATCTAGAAACAAATACAAAATAATGTGTTTTGAAGTAAAATTTCAAAGTGCTATGTTCATAAGAGATAAGTCTGATCTAATCTAGAAGGATGAAAGAATCTCTTCCCCCAGAGACTGAAAAATAAAGGATAAATCTCCTAACAGTGATAAGGAGA